TGGGTGTAGTTATTTACAGTACAGAGGTCCACATGCAGTTCCAAATGAACCAGTATAGGACAAAACAGCAAGTGTTTGATGCCATAGATAACATTCCATACAGATTCGGAAGTACTAACACAGCTGATGGTCTCCGGACAATGCATGAAGAAATGTTTACTCGGCAGAATGGTGATCGACCTAACGTTGATAATATTTGTATTCTCGTGACTGATGGTGTTTCAAATATCAATTCCCGAAGAACTGTGCCAGAAGCCGTTGCTGCTAGAAATAAAAACATCCATCTTTATGTTATTGGTATCGGGTTGACTGATACTCGGGAAGTTGATCAAATTGCCTCACCACCGGTGGAAGAAAATAGATTCATAGTACAGGAGTTTGATGAATTGAGAGCGCTTCGAGATAAAGTCTTTTCATCGCTGTGCATATGCAAGTATACATTTATAACACTGCCCGTATTGTTCTGTCTCAAACATATCTTTCAGAAACATGCCTTCTTCTGTTTTTTTTTTGTTTTGTCATATTGTCTCTTCTACCGTTCAAATACTTTCTAACAAAACGTATCAACCCATGTACAGTTTTCTTTTCGTTTTGTTTAACAATATATATCGTTCTTTCGGTGTCTCAAATATCCAAGCTTTACTTCAGCAACCACTGCCCCTTTATTCTTATCTGTTATCTTACTTTCCGTTCTATTTTCAACAAGTTTCTAACCAAACACATCTATAACCTCTTATATAAAGTTCTCTGTTCATCTGAAAAATATATTATAGTGTTGTATGGGTGAAATGTTATTCCGTTGCCCGTTCTCTTAAATGTGTAACTAATACCTCTGGTATCCGGTAAATCAAGTCTTTTTCTCATCATTTTATATGTATCATACGTATTTCACTTGATACTTTCTTAAATGTGTAACTAATACCTCTGGTATCCGGTAAATCAAGTCTTTTTCTCATCATTTTATATGTATCATACGTATTTCACTTGATACTTTTTTTTTATTAAAACACCTACTCTATATTTCTTTTTCTTTTTTACCTAACACTTATATGTTCTATGTTGTTACACATTCTTTCTCACGGTCGATAATAAAAAATGCAAGACTATCCTGGTCACGGCACTCAATCTAATGTGCAGCACTATCATTAATCACGTACCAAACATGACTTGCGTCCTTATTTTAGTTTATTTACAAGCTCTTTGAATGTGCCACTTTTCAAACCAATAACGTTTTCTTGATTATTATGACTTTCCTATTTTATATATAGATTGTTGATATTGTGCTGTCCGATAAAGGAGTTCATATGCTAAATTCGGTTATCTTGACCCTTTGTAATTTTGTTTTACTTTCTACGTCATTTCAAGTTCATGGGTCAAATCCATCATTCTAGGTTGAAAAAAGGCAAACAGGACTGTCATTTGCTTTAACTCCTACCATAATAAAAACTGTCTTGTATAATATATTTTATATTTTTTGTAGCTCCCGATCCTATTCCTATCACACTTCCTCCTCCCAAGGAAATTGGAAGTAAGTAGAAAATCAATATTCCAACTGCTAATGTGCAAACTAAATATTTAACATCAATTTATTTTGTGGGGGTTTCGCCTTCTGTTTTGTCAGCTAATAAAATGTATTCGAGATGTATGACTACCTGGTCGATATCAATCCATACGTTTTACTTCAGGCTGTAGTAATACCAGACTTGATTTGGTCTTTGTGTTGGATGCCTCTACCAGTGTAACTGAACCCAATTTTAAACTGATGCTAGATTTCTTGAAAGACTTTCTACAAGTTGCTAATATTGACGGCGGTAATGTAAGAGTGGGTGTAGTTATTTACAGTACAGAGGTCCACATGCAGTTTCAAATGAACCAATATAGGACAAAACAACAAGTGTTTGACGCTATAGATAACATTCCATACAGATTCGGTAGTACTAACACAGCGGATGGACTTCGGACAATGCATGAGGAAATGTTTACTCGACAAAATGGTGATCGACCTAACGTTGATAATATTTGTATTCTCGTGACTGATGGTGTTTCAAATATCAATTCCCGAAGAACTGTACCAGAAGCTGTTGCTGCTAGGAGTAAAAACATCCATCTTTATGTTATTGGCATCGGGTTGACTGATACTCGGGAAGTTGACCAAATTGCTACACCACCGGTGGAAGAAAACAGATTCATAGTACAGGAGTTTGATGAATTGAGAGCTCTTCGAGATAAAGTCTTTTCATCGCTGTGCATATGCAAGTATACGTTTATTACGCTGTCCTTATTGTTCTGTCTCAAACATATCTTTCAGAAACATGCCTTCTTCGGTCTTGCTGTTTTCTCCTATTTTCCCTTCTACCGTTCAAATACTTTCTAACAAAACTTATCGACTTATGTACAGTTTTCATTTCGTTTATTTAACAATATATATCGTTCTTTCGGTGACTCAAATATTCTAACTTTACTTCAGGAACCACCGCCCGTCTGTTCTTATCTGTTGTCTTATTTTTTGTTCTTTAATTCAACAGTTTCCTAACAGAAAACGTCTATAACATCTTATATACAGTTCTCTATTCATCTAATTAATAATCTAATATGCATATTATAGTGTTGTGTGGGTGTAATAATGTCATTCCCGTTGTCCATTCTCTTAAATGAGTAACTAATACCTGTGGTATCCGGTAAATCAAGTCTAATTTCATCATTTTATATGTAGCATGCATAATTGATTTGATTTTGTCCATTTAATATTTTGTTTTTATTTAAAAACTCATTCTACATTTCTTTTTTTTTTACCTGAAACTAATAATTATGTTTTATTTAGTTCGGATTATTGTAAGACTATCCTGTTACACATTCTTTCTCACGTTCGATAATAGAAACGACACGGCTATCCTGGTCACGGCACTAAATCGAATGTGCAGCACTGTCAAATTGTTGATATTGTGCTATCCAATACAGGTATTCATAAATTGATCCTTTGTAATTTTGTTTTACTTTCTACGTCATTTCAAGTTCTTGGATCAAATCCATCATTCTAGGCTGAAAAAGGCAAACAGAATTGTCATTTGTTTTAACTTCTACCATAATAAAAACTGTCTTGTATATTATCTTTTATATTTTTTGTAGCTCCCGATCCTATTCCTATCACACTTCCTCCTCCCAAGGAAATTGGAAGTAAGTAGAAAATCAATATTTCAACTGCTAATGTGCAAACAAAATATTTAACATAATTTATATTGCGGGGTTTTCGCCTTCTGTTTTGTCAGCTTATAAAATGTATTCCAGATGTATGACTTGCTGGTCGATATCAATCCATACGTTTTACTTCAGGCTGTAGTAATACCAGACTTGATTTGGTCTTTGTGTTGGATGCCTCTACCAGTGTAACTGAACCCAATTTTAAACTGATGCTAGATTTCTTGAAAGACTTTTTACAAGTTGCTAATATTGACGGCGGTAATGTAAGAGTGGGTGTAGTTATTTACAGTACAGAGGTCCACATACAGTTTCAAATGAACCAGTATAGGACAAAACAACAAGTGTTTGATGCTATAGATAACATTCCATACAGATTCGGTAGTACTAACACAGCGGATGGACTTCGGACAATGCATGAGGAAATGTTTACTCGACAAAATGGTGATCGACCTAATGTTGATAATATTTGTATTCTCGTAACTGATGGTGTTTCAAATATCAATTCCCGAAGAACTGTACCAGAAGCTGTGGCTGCTAGAAATAAAAACATCCATCTTTATGTTATTGGTATCGGGTTGACTGATACTCGCGAAGTTGACCAAATTGCTACACCACCGGTGGAGGAAAACAGATTCATAGTACAGGAGTTTGATGAATTGAGAGCTCTTCGAGATAAAGTCTTTTCATCGCTGTGCATATGCAAGTATACATTTATAACACTGTCCGTATTGTTCTGTCTCAAACATATCTTTCAGAAAAATGCCTTCTTCTGTTTTTGTTTTTTTTGTTTTGTCATATTGTCTCTTCTACCGTTCAAATACATTCTAACAAAACGTATCAACCTATGTACAGTTTTCTTTTCGTTTTGTTTAACAATATATATCGTTCTTTCGGTGTCTCAAATATCCAAGCTTTACTTCAGCAACCACTGCCCCTTTATTCTTATCTGTTATCTTACTTTCCGTTCTATTTTCAACAAGTTTCTAACCAAACATCTTATATACAGTTCTCTGTTCATCTAATTAATATATTATAGTGTTGTATGGGTTTAATAATGTTATTCCCTTGCCCGTTCTCTTAAATGTGTAACTAATACCTCTGGTATCCGGTAAATCAAGTCTTTTTCTCATCATTTTATATGTATCATACGTATTTCACTTGATACTTTTTTTTATTAAAACACCTACTCTACATTTCTTTTTCTTTTTTACCTAACACTAATATGTTCTATGTTGTTACACATTCTTTCTCACGGTCGATAATAGAAAATGCAAGACTATCCTGGTCACGGCACTCAATCTAATGTGCAGCACTATTATTAATCACGTGCCAAACATGACTTGCGTCCTTATTTTAGTTGATTTACAAGCTCTTTGAATGTTCCACTTTTCAAACCAATAACGTTTTCTTGATTATTATGACTGTCCTATTTTATATATAAATTGTTGATACTGTGCTGTCCAATAAAGGAGTTCATATGCTAAATTGGGTTATCTTGATCCTTTGTAAATTTGTCTTTACCTTCTACGTCATTTCAATTTCTTCGGTGAAATCCATCATTCTAGGTTGAAAAAAGGCAAACGGGACTGTCATTTGTTTTAACTCCTACCATAATAAAAACTGTCTTGTATAATATATTTTATATTTTTTGTAGCTCCCGATCCTATTCCTATCACACTTCCTCCTCCCAAGGAAATTGGAAGTAAGTAGAAAATCAATATTCCAACTGCTAATGTGCAAACAAAATATTTAACATAATGTATATTGCGGGGTTTTCGCCTTCTGTTTTGTCAGCTTATAAAATGTATTCGAGATGTATGACTTGCTGGTCGATATCAATTCATACGTTTTACTTCAGGCTGTAGTAATACCAGACTTGATTTGGTCTTTGTGTTGGATGCCTCTACCAGTGTAACGGAACCCAATTTTAAACTGATGCTAGATTTCTTGAAAGACTTTTTACAAGTTGCTAATATTGACGGCGGTAATGTAAGAGTGGGTGTAGTTATTTACAGTACAGAGGTTCACATGCAGTTTCAAATGAACCAGTATAGGACAAAACAACACGTGTTTGATGCTATAGATAACATTCCATACAGATTCGGTAGTACTAACACAGCGGATGGACTTCGGACAATGCATGAGGAAATGTTTACTCGACAAAATGGTGATCGACCTAATGTTGATAATATTTGTATTCTCGTAACTGATGGTGTTTCAAATATCAATTCCCGAAGAACTGTACCAGAGGCTGTGGCTGCTAGAAATAAAAACATCCATCTTTATGTTATTGGTATTGGGTTGACTGATACTCGCGAAGTTGACCAAATTGCTACACCACCGGTGGAGGAAAACAGATTCATAGTACAGGAGTTTGATGAATTGAGAGCTCTTCGAGATAAAGTCTTTTCATCGCTGTGCATATGCAAGTATACCTTTATAACACTGCCCGCATTGTTCTGTCTCAAACATATCTTTCAGAAACATGCCTTCTTCTGTTTTTTGTTTTGTTTTGTCATATTGTCTCTTCCACCGTTCAAATACTTTCTAACAAAACATATCAACCTATGTATAGTTTTCTTTTCGTTTCGTTTAACAATATATATATCGTTCTTTCGGTGTCTCAAATATCCAAGCTTTACTTCAGCACCCACTGCCCCTTTATTCTTATCTGTTATCTTACTTTCCGTTCTATTTTGAACAACTTTCTAACCAAACACATCTATAACATCTTATATACAGTTCTCTGTTCATCTAATTAATATATTATAGTGTTGTATGGGTGTAATAATGTTATTCCGTTGCCCGTTCTCTTAAATGTGTAACTAATACCTCTGGTATCCGGTAAATCAAGCCGTTTTCTCATCATTTTATATGTAGCATACGTATTTCATTTGATACTTTTTATTTGATACTTTTCTTTATTAAAACACCTACTCTACATTTCTTTTTCTTTTTTACCTAACACTTATATGTTCTATGCTGTTACACATTCTTTCTCACGGTCGATAATAGAAAATGCAAGACTATCCTGTTCACGGCACTAAATCTAATGTGCAGCACTATCATTAATCACGTACCAAACATGACTTGCGTCCTTATTTTAGTTGATTTACAAGCTCTTTGAATGTGCCACTTTTCAAAGCCAATAACGTTTTCTTGATTATTATGACTTTCCTATTTTATATATAAATTGCTGATACTGTGCTGTCCAATCAAGGAGTTCATATGCTAAATTGGGTTATCTTGATCCTTTGTCATTTTTTTTAGTTTCTACGTCATTTCAAGTTCTTGGGTCAAATCCATCATTCTAGGTTGAAAAAAGGTAAACAGGACTGTCATTTGTTTTAACTCCTACCATAATAAAAACTGTCTTGTATAATATATTTTATATTTTTTGTAGCTCCCGATCCTATTCCTATCACACTTCCTCCTCCCAAGGAAATTGGAAGTAAGTAGAAAATCAATATTCCAACTGCTAATGTGCAAACTAAATATTTAACATAAATTTATTTTGTGGGGGTTTCGCCTTCTGTTTTGTCAGCTTATAAAATGTATTCGAGATGTATGACTAGCTGGTCGATATCAATCCATATGTTTTACTTCAGGCTGTAGTAATACCAGACTTGATTTGGTCTTTGTGTTGGATGCCTCTACCAGTGTAACTGAACCCAATTTTAAACTGATGCTAGATTTCTTGAAAGACTTTCTACAAGTTGCTAATATTGACGGCGGTAATGTAAGAGTGGGTGTAGTTATTTACAGTACAGAGGTCCACATGCAGTTTCAAATGAACCAATATAGGACAAAACAACAAGTGTTTGATGCTATAGATAACATTCCATACAGATTCGGTAGTACTAACACAGCGGATGGACTTCGGACAATGCATGAGGAAATGTTTACTCGACAAAATGGTGATCGACCTAACGTTGATAATATTTGTATTCTCGTGACTGATGGTGTTTCAAATATCAATTCCCGAAGAACTGTGCCAGAAGCTGTTGCTGCTAGAAATAAAAACATCCATCTTTATGTTATTGGCATCGGGTTGACTGATACTCGGGAAGTTGACCAAATTGCTACACCACCGGTGGAAGAAAACAGATTCATAGTACAGGAGTTTGATGAATTGAGAGCTCTTCGAGATAAAGTCTTTTCATCGCTGTGTATATGCAAGTATACGTTTATTACGCTGTCCTTATTGTTCTGTCTCAAACATATCTTTCAGAAACATGTCTTCTTCTCCTTTGCTGTTTTCTCCTATTTTCTCTTCTACCGTTCAAATACTTTTTAACAAAGTCTATCGACTTATATACAGTTGTCTTTTCGTTTATTTAACAATATATATCGTTCTTTCGGTGACTCAAATATTCAAGCTTTATTTCAGGAACCACCGCCCGTCTGTTCTTATCTGTTGTCTAATTTTTTTGTTCTTTAATTCAACAATTTTCTAACCGAAAACGTCTATAACATCTTATATACAGTTCTCTATTCATCTAATTAATAATCTAATATGCATATTGTAGTGTTGTGTGGGTGTAATAATGTTATTCTGTTGTCCATTCTCTTAAATGAGTAACTAATATCTGTGGTGTCCGGTAAATCAAGTCTTATTTCATCATTTTATATGTAGCATACATAATTGATTTGATTTTGTCCATTTAATATTTTGTTTCTATTTAAAAACTTATTCTACATTTCTTTTTTTTTACCTGAAACTAATAATTATGTTTTATTTAGTTCGGATTATTGTAAGCCTATCCTGTTACACATTCTTTCTCACGTTCGATAATAGAAACGACAAGACTATCCTGCTCACGGCACTAAATCTAATGTGCAGCACTGTCATTAATTATGTACCAAATTGTTGACATTGTGCTATCCAGTACAGGTATTCATGAATTGATCCTTTGTAATTTTGTTTTACTTTCTACGTCATTTCAAGTTCTTGGATCAAATCCATCATTCTAGGCTGAAAAAGGCAAACAGAATTGTCATTTGTTTTAACTCCTACCATAATAAAAACTGTCTTGTATATTATCTTTTATATTTTTTTGTAGCTCCCGATCCTATTCCTATCACACTTCCTCCTCCCAAGGAAATTGGAAGTAAGTAGAAAATCAATATTCCAACTGCTAATGTGCAAATTAAATATTTAACATAAATCTATATTGCGGGGTTTTCGCTTTCTGTTTTGTCAGCTTATAAAATGCATTCGAGATGTATGACTTGCTGGTCGATATCAATCCATACGTTTTACTTCAGGCTGTAGTAATACCAGACTTGATTTGGTCTTTGTGTTGGATGCCTCTACCAGTGTAACTGAACCCAATTTTAAACTGATGCTAGATTTCTTGAAAGACTTCCTACAAGTTGCTAATATTGACGGCGGTAATGTAAGAGTGGGTGTAGTTATTTACAGTACAGAGGTCCACATGCAGTTTCAAATGAACCAGTATAGGACAAAACAACAAGTGTTTGATGCTATAGATAACATTCCATACAGATATGGAAGTACTAACACAGCTGATGGGCTCCGGACAATGCATGAGGAAATGTTTACTCGAAAAAATGGTGATCGACCTAACGTTGATAATATTTGTATTCTCGTGACTGATGGTGTTTCAAATATCAATTCCCGAAGAACTGTACCAGAAGCTGTTGCTGCTAGAAATAAAAACATCCATCTTTATGTTATTGGTATCGGGTTGACTGATACTCGAGAAGTTGACCAAATTGCTACACCACCTATTGAAGAAAACAGATTTATAGTACAGGAGTTTGATGAATTGAGAGCTCTTCGAGATAAAGTCTTTTCATCTTTGTGCATATGCAAGTATACATTTATAACCTATCCTTATTGTTCTGTCTCAAACATATCTTTCAGCAACATGTCTTCTTCTGTTTTTCTATGTTGTCCTATTGTCTTTGATCGTTCGGTTACTTTTTAGCCAAACTTATCACATAACGTACAGTTATCTTTTCGTTTTATTTAACAATATATATATCGTTCTTTCTGTGTTCCGGATATTCTATGTCCCTTAATTCGACAAGTTTCTTACCAAATACGTCTATAACATCTATATTATTTACAGTTCTCTTTTCATCTAATTAATATATATGTATGGGTGTAGTAATGTTGTCCATTCTCTTTAATTTTGTTTTTAATTAGCAAATCACATCTTATATCTCATCATTTTAGATTTAGCATACGTATTTGATTTGCTAACATTTCTTTATATTTAATGTTCTATTTTTCTTTCACAAACCGTCTCCTTATAACACACGTTTGGATGTACGATTTGTTTTATACCAAAACTATTCTTTTGTGTCGCATTGCATGTTTTATTTACAGTCAACATTCTAGTTAACATGTTTCGTATCGGATTGATTGCGTTTGCCTGGAAATATATAATTGAACAGTGACTTATATTTCTACAGAAGTTCCTTCATGTCTTAAATTTCAATCAAATTCAAATATTATTATTATTGTTATTATTGTTATTATTATTATTTATGATATCTGTGAGAATCGTATAAATGAAACAAGTTGAATTTAGACTGTTTTTAATAGCCCCTGGACCTTTTTTCAGCTCCTGATCCAACTCCTATTCCCATCACTCGTCCTCCTCCTAAAGAATCAAGTAAGTACAAAATGACAAACAAATTCGTATGAATAAGAAATATGTGTGTGAATTACAACCACATTCGTATGTAATAAGCAATATGTGTGTGAATTACACGTTAAAATATAAAATGAAATTTATAATCGTATTCTAAGATCAACGCAAGCCTACGATTTAAAGGTAAGTACGATAATTCATCCAAATTAAGGAAGCATGCCGTTTTAGGATTTACATAACCAAATAATCCGTTGTTCTATTATCTCAGACCATTTAATTGTGTGTTATTTGCTTTCAAATTAGTATCTAGTGCATATTTAGCCAGAAACATTTTTCGTTTAGGTTGTGACGATACTAGGATTGATTTGGTGTTTGTTATGGATGCTTCAACCAGTGTCACAGAGCCTAACTTCAAACTCATGTTGAAGTTTTTGAAAGACTTCTTAAATGTTGCTGATATTGATGGTGGTAGTGTAAGAGTTGGTGTAGTTATTTACAGTACAGACGTACACGTACAGTTCCAAATGAACGAGTATAATTCAAAACAGCGAATGTTTGATGCCATAGATAATATTCCATACAGGTTTGGTAGTACTAATACCGCAGGTGGGCTGAAAAAGATGCACGAAGAAATGTTTACTGCCAGAAATGGTGATCGACCTGATGTTGATAATATTTGTATTCTTGTTACTGACGGTGTTTCAAATATTAATTCACGAAAAACTGTCCCAGAAGCCGAAAGTGCTAGAAACAAGGGTATTCATCTCTATGTTATTGGTATCGGTTTGACTGATACTCGAGAAGTTGATCGAATTGCTACACCACCCATAGAAGAAAACAGGTTCATAGTTAAGGACTTTGATGAACTACAAGGACTTAGAGACAAGGTGTTTTCATCTTTATGTATATGTAAGTACACAATTCTTTTTCATCACATTTCCTTATTTAGCAGACGTTGTGCCTCTTAATGAATTCGGTATATTTTTTGGGGAATACAGATTGTTAACTTATCCTCATCGTTGGCATTTTCGGCAAATGACCCAGTAAAGCTCATTTACGCGACCTTTTTGACAAAACATACACACCATAGAATTGTACACGTCAGTGAAAGTTTGCCACTTGACATGACTGTCCAGATGAACACACATTTCTTGTCACATTTTAGTTTGTAATATCTACTTGAACATAATGATGACGCCCACAATTTATCAAATACTTTGGCAATTTAAGTTTGCCACATTTGGTAGGGCTTAACTAAACATCCTACTATCTTAAGATCAGATTGATATGATTTGGTCAAAGAATACGTACACTGTAATTGGAAATCTTTTCTGAAATTAAAGGTATCTCTTCTTTGTAAATAAATTTGGTTTCAGTCATTGTATTATTGAAGATGTCAAATATGCTTAGATTGATTATACAACTATGGATATGTTCTGTAATAGTTCGAAAAATAATTATAATGTATTCAATCACTACCGTGGTTACCAACCTGAATTGTTTTATAATATGAGCTGTATCATTCACAATATCGATCGAGAAAGATATGAATTAAACATCAGTAATTTAAAACGTAACGCAACAGATATCTACATCTAGATACACGTGTGTCAGAATAACAAGTACTGGATGTATCCACCACAAATTTACTTCAAATAATTTCTAACGTCTCAAGTTCAGTGCGATATGCTAAATGATGATCGATGAAACTAAAGGATATGAGTACTTTTCCTACTTCAGTACCAGTTGTTCCAAGAACGACAACAACAGTAACGTCTAGTAAGTCTGGGTTCGGAATGTAGCCCCTTTCCCACGTACACGGTTGTAAGGTAGCAATACCCATAAAGATGCCCCTACCCCCACCCCCAACCCCACCCCTCCCTCCGTCTATATGCTCAAAATTATACTTCAAGTGTATCCCTAAATCCCTAATCTTATTTCATATAGTAATATTAACCATTTAGATTCTTCACCGCTAGGTACCGAAATATATGTCTTTATATATTTTAATCAAATAACTTATTAGAAAAATATTATGTTCGATGAAACTAAAAGATATGAGTACATTTTCTAATGTACCAGTTGTTCCAAGAACGACAACAACGGTATCTGCTAGTACGTGTGGGTTTGGAATGAAGCCCCTATTCCACGTACATGCTTTTAAGGTAGCAGCAATACCCATAAAGATACCCCCTCCCCACCCACCCACCCACACACACCATATGCTCAAAATTATACTTAAGTATACCCCTTAATCCTATTCCATATAGTAATATTAACCATGTTAGATTGACCTCCGTTAAGAACCGAATCATTTGTCCTTTCGTTGTTTTATATATTTCAATCACATAACATATTCGATGCCCATGATAAATTTGCTACAAACGGTCTTGTCAATGCCCCTTAAATTACATATTTCTTAACATCAGTTATTTGCTATAGTTTTGAAACTAACCCTGCAGAAAATTTTCCTCAAAACTTTACAACGATTTCTAATATACTTAAACGTACCATCTCAAAGCAGTTTTACCAAATTTGAAGAAAGTACCAATGATTTTGCCATGGAAAATATACCCGTGAAAATTTATTTTGATTTTCCAGTCATTTTGCCAGTGAAGCAGAATAAATGTATTTCATTTTATCATAATATTATAAAGGTACCAATGATTTTGCCATGGAAAATATGCGCGTGAAAATTTAATTTGATTTTCCAGTCATTTTGCCAGTGAAGCAGAATCAATGTATTTCATTTTATCATAATATTATAAAGGTACACACTGTTCAATTTACACAGTATGTATCTAGATACTTAATTAAAGAATCTATCCATATTCCTGGTGCAAACAATTTCTAACAACTAAGTTCTGTGCTAAATGATAAGTAATATGATGTATTAAATTAAACGTTTTGGATACATTTGCTACTTCAGCACCAGTTCCAGCAACGACAACAACTACCAGTAAGTTTGAGTTTGGAATGAAGCCCATTTCCACGTACATGTCTGAAAGATAGCAATATCCTTAAAAAAACACTATCCTCTCGCTTTTCTGTTGTTTCATTTCGTTCAAAAATACCCATAGTGGTTTTGATTTAAAATTAAATTTCCATCCTTATAGCCTTAGAAATTATATACATGTTCCATTATCCACAACCCATGACACTCCCTCACCCACAACCCATTACAGTACACACACCCCCCCTTACCACACTCCCATGACACTCCCTCACCCACAACCCATTACAGTGCAGCCCTCCACCTTACCACACTCCCATGACACTCCCTCACCCACAACCCATTAAAGTACACCCCTCCACCTTACCACACTCTACCCCTTTAACGGACCCGGCATGACTCAAGCCTATAAAACTTTTAAAAATTCCTGTTCATTCTACCCCATTTTTCGTTATTACAGGTCCACATGGAATCCCCCCTTTGATAATGGACAAACATCGAAAATTATTAACATTGTTAAACATGCATAACCGTGTTTAAGCGCCCACATGGAAATGTGGACGTATATTGCCGTCGCCCCCATAGCGCCCCACCCCACCCCCAGTTGTTTATATTAGAGAGATGAAGAAGCCTGTTTAATTTCAATAATTTCCGTTTATTACGTCTCGAGTTATGGCCTTTGTTTCACTTTGGTGAACGCTCTAACGCCAAAATTTAACATCCCATCTTTGTGAAATTTATATGCATTATTTGAATTAGTGAAACGAAGAACCCTATTGAATTTCCCTTAATTACTTCTAGAGTTATGGCCCTTGTTTCACTTTGTTGCACTTTTTGAACGCTCTAACATCTAAAGTTATCTGCCGATTTGTATGAAATTTGTACGTGTCATTTAAATTAGTGAAACGAAGAAGCCTATTGAATTAGTGAAACAAAGAAGCCTATTGAATTTCAGCAATTTCCGTTTATTAGGTCTAAAGTTATGGCCCTTGTTTCACTTTATTGAACCTTGTGAACCCTCTAACGCCAAAAGTTATCATCCGAAATACGTATGCTTTATTTAAATTAGCGACACAAAGAAGCCTATTGAATTTCAAAAATTTATGTTATTAACTTTCAGAGTTAAAGCCCTCTTTTCAGTTTGTAGAACCTTGTTAACCCTCAAACGACAAAAGTTATAATCTGATCTGTATGAAATTTCTTGTAAATACCCCCAATTACCTACAAAAGAATAAATATGCGGCAACCCATGTTGACCCATTGGGCGAAATAGCTGTTGTGGGTGTATGTTTCGTTGCCTGCCAACCTATCTTTTATATTATTATCTTTCGTTTTCAGGAAATTATGAAACGTTAGTGAGAACAAGAAGGCTTTTGACGGCGAGCTGCACCCCTCACCCCCACACTCACACCCACAAACATATTTGGCAAATTCTTTTTGCATCAAATTGACTAGTCATTAAGCTATTTGTATTATCGTTATCTGGGGTATTCTGTTCAGTGGCATAAATATGGATATATATTATGAGTTTTGTAATGCGGAGCAGTCTATGCTCATTTAAGGTTTATAGAACCCAGCGTACAATCAAATTCAATGTTTATTAAGTACCAATTAAAAGTAATAGTCTACAGCCTAGTACAAAATGTTTGAATTATGATATGATGACATGAATAATCTACACAATGACCACTGGTTTTTTTTTAGTTATGCTTCATTCTTTAGACCTTACCATATAAAAATGCACATTCTTCAATGCCTATGAAAATGTATATCTAAACCATACATATATACATATTGGTTATCATATTTTGATTTCAGCTCCTACCCCAGTTGGAATTACACTACCGCCAGCACAAAAAGGTATTTAATTGTGCATTGATATGACTTTATGGATTCTTAGAGGATTTCAGATAAAAACAATAATTATAGCCAGAATTGTAAACAATATTAGCAACGGCTGTGCTATATACTCTTCCAAAAAAGTAGGGGATATTCAGAAACAATGACGGCCCCATTTCACTCGTAAAGAGATACACCGTCAAAGTGAAAATAGACGTTTTTGATTTTT